ATATATATATATATATATATATACATGTACACACAAAAGGGAACGCGTTGCCGACGTGGTCATGGGCCTTCATGATGCGCCGCCTGTGTGGCTCGAGGGCCCTCTGGAAACCATAGACAGTGAAAGGAACAAAGCCGAATCTCCTCCGCGTGACATGCTTGGCTTGATCCTGTGGTCTGGAATGATCATTGCGCTCAGTGTCGTATGCCTCTGGCAGGGTATGCTGCTCTGGACCACACGTCGCCGGCAGATGATGGGGCAAGCCGACGGCAGAAACAGGAACGGCGCAGACGCAGCATGGCCGCCGAATGCTGCTGCTTCGCCTCTTCCTGTAGCTGGCCTTCACCATCCGCCAGTCGTGGTTGGGCACGTGGTGGTAGACGAGGAGGTGTGCGAACAGCGCGATGGTGGCGGGCAGCCGCCGAGTGACGCCGCAGATCTTTACGGCACGGGCCACTACTTGCCGCGCAGTGATGGTGCTGGTCTGTGATCGAGCGTGTATACGTTCAGGCACACTGAGATTGTGTGTGCCTGTACGCTTCTGCTTATTGCTAAGTCGTATGTGTGCTCTTCTTGCGAGAAGCAACGGTGCTGTTGGTTGCCTGCGGCCGTTCGGTATCCTCTCACTAAAGTCGTTTAAACTGGAAAAACGAATGAAAACATAAGCTGTGAAACGTGGAACCCCACATAGTGCCTTGTGTGGTGCATTAGGTGGATATCTTGGCTGTACTGCTTCCCTTATTCTCTTTCTGTGCATTCCACCCGTTGGCACCGTTGACAGCCAGGTCTTGCCTCACTCGTCACTGCAGATGCTCCCCCACAATTCCTCTCGCTCTCCCCCACCCACCCACCCCAGCAGCTGAGGTCTCTAGAACCACCATGACAGCCTTGCCCACGGCCGCCGTCATCCCATGGACCCTGCTGCTTCTGCTGCCGGTCATATCTGTCATTTGGTTATGTCTGAGATACGTCGAAGGGCGGCAGAGACAAGTGCAGGACGGTGCGTCTCGTCATGAGCCGCACGATGAGGATGTGATCTTTGACGCGTCACATCATCCCCAGGGCAGCAGCATTTTTGTGCAGGCCATTCCCGTTGTTGCGCCAGAGCTACCTGTCGTCGATGGCAGCCCGCAGCTGCGTGACTCCTCGGAGCTGTACGGCGAGGGGCATTACTTGCCACGCGACGATGGCTCTGTGAGTGGGGNGCAGCCCGCAGCTGCGTGACTCCTCGGAGCTGTACGGCGAGGGGCATTACTTGCCACGCGACGATGGCTCTGTGAGTGGGGAGAGCACTAGCGAGCATAAGTGTGCGGGCGCCAAGGGTACGTAGGTGGCAGGTGCGCCGTACTGCTCAATAGATGTCATGGGCCCTTTGGTAATACATGCGGCATGGGCTTTATTCGAGCCCAGCTGCTTTCTATCGTTGTTCAATATGTGTTTTTTTTGCGCATGCGTATGAGTGTTCGTTGTTCGTTGTCTGTTCACCGCGGGGGATGTTCCTCACGCCTACGCTCACAACAGTGCCCGCATGGTCTCGGCGCCATTTCAGGTGTGTTTATATTTGCATATGGGGCATTGTGCTTGTGTGTGTGTGTGTGTGTGTCTCTGTGTCTGTGTGTGGAGTCCCACGGCTGTTCTCTATCGGCTCCTCCGTCGTGGCGTCATCTCGTACGGCTCCCTCGTCTATTCCTCATCTACTACAGGGAATGGGGAGGAAAGGTCTATCGAAACCGAGAGATGGATGCATGGAGCAGGCCTGCTTCAGCAAAGGCATCGTTTTGTTTCTCCGCGCACTTGCCCACTCACTCACTCACTCACTCACGCTCACACTCACACTCAAACAATTATCTCTCATGTGTTCTTCTGTGCCTCTGCTGACAGTGGCACTGGCTATTTTCTTCCTCTCTTGGGAATCAAAACGTCTCCATGGTCGTTCCATGCCTTACTGATAGATACACGCAACAGTGGGCGCGGAAAGCAAAAACTGTAACAAGACGAACTTTTTTCCCGCCATGTCTCAACTGTTCTGGTGTACGGTTTGCCTTTAGTTGTCATTTAAATCGGTGTTTCTCCCTTTTATTTTTCGGCTGATTGTGGCGTGGCCTGATTTTTTTTTTTTTTGCTTAGTCTTCCCCTCTCGCTCTCGCACGCGCGCGCCTCGCTCTTTGAAATAACGCCTGCCTCAAACTATGAATGGCTGAGAATGACTGCGGCACTGCATCAATAGCCCTCAATCCTCCTCCTTCTCCACTTAAAAATATATGTGAGTGTGTGTCCATGGTGTGAATGTAATGTTCTTGCGCAGTCTCACATGCACACACGCATACGCACATGCCCTGTCGGTTTCCATGTTGTCGCTGCAGCAGCTGTGCTGCGTCAGACCTCTCGAATGTGCGCACTCCCCCCTTTGATCTCGCGCCTTGCTGCAGGACAAGTCAAGAAACACGCACTCATAGCTACAATACATTTTCCAGCATATTCCACACGGTGCTGTCGGGGAACGAGGAGGCCATGAATACTTTGCTTACCTTCGTGCTCTGCGGTTGCGTCTTTCTTGTGATCGCCCTCTGGGGAGCCATCATCGGATGGCTGTACATGAGAAAGCTGCGTAGGGTGCAGAAGCAGCGAGAGCTGCTGCGCCAATGCCCCCAGGCCGAGCCGTTTGAGCCGCCAGTGCCGTTTCCGGAAGTGGTAGAAGCCTCTGTAGTATTCTCCGGCCACCAGGAGGCGCAGCGCTGCGCCGAGGAGGGAGGTTTTGTTCTTACGCGTGTGCGGAGTGAGATGCTGACCGCCAACAGCACCCTTTCGCTGGATCATTTGGGTATCGGCGAAGCTGCAGAAGACGGGAATCATGTCCCGCACGCACAAACACCCTCTCTGTTGCGCGGCGTGCCTGTNAACCGTCGTCGGCTTTCGGTGCCTAATGTGGCTGTTGAGGACTGTGGCGTCCGCCCTCCTGTGGGGTTGATGTACCGTCTGCGGCGTGCAAGCACCGTCTACGGCTGTGCGGAGTACATATCACGTGGTGTCGGCAGCACGACACGGGTGGAAGTGGCATGAAGAGTGGAGACCGAGTCCTTCCCCTCAGAGGGTGATTTTTCACGTGTGTGTTTTCTGGGTGTGATATACATCCCGCACTCAACTGATTTTTTTGTGGACGCGGGTGTCTGAAGGGCCAATCGAGGCTCCCCTAGTGGACGCAAACGTTCGGGGGGCCGCGCGTCGTGAGGGGCGCGCAAGTGCGTCAGTTGGATAGCATGGCCCACAGCATAGCACCGCATTCGAGTATATATATATATATATATGCGCAACTGTTTACTTCCATTCTGGAGGGCAGACCGGTCATGACTCTAGGGGAATGGGATATTGTCATTCTGCCTTGCGACGCTGTGGGCTTGATGATTCCATTGCGTTTGGGCCGTTGTTCTGAATCTCTTGGGGAGTGAGGCTGCAGACGCAGCGGCCCGGCGTGAGACGACCGTGTGTCCGCCGCATGAGGAAGCGGTGAGTTCTTGTCACCGTGGTGTGTGTTTGTGTGTGGCTTACTATTTACTTTTCTTTCATTCATGTTTCTCCTCTCTTTTCTTTTTTTTTTTTTGGTTTGCTTGTGTTTCTTTTTGGGTTTGCTTGTGATTTTCTTTCTTGCCACCCCNTTTTTTTTTTTTGGTTTGCTTGTGTTTCTTTTTGGGTTTGCTTGTGATTTTCTTTCTTGCCACCCCCCGTTGCTGGGGATTTTCTTTCTTTTTGACAGTTGATGTTTTTGTTTTGCGTGTGTTCTTCGCCCCCACGACTTTCGCTTTCGGCGCAGCTGCCGGAGCGGACCCACAACTCTGCATGGGGGGCACTCGTGCAACGTGTGCACTGGCGACTGAGCCAGCAGTGTGGCTGCGCCCCACGTAGAGGAGTTCAATGCACCAACGTGGAACCCCTTTCCTCACACCGCCCCTCCTCCTTCCTTTTTTTTTTTCGGTGTTGCATGTTTTATTCCTTCTTTTTTTTTTTTT